TCAGGGTAGGAACTGGAGGAACATTCGAGAACAGTTGAAATCTTCCACTGATACCATAACACTGCTATTGCTCACTGCAAATCTAACATATACATGTTAAAAGTGGCCTTTGAAAAAGTATGTATTGCAAAGCAAAATTCCCACTGATTTCAGGAATCTCTCTGAGGCAATAGGAGAAATGGCTTCGTTGTCCCAAGGCCAGTGGATGAATCTTGCTGAGTGTGCCAGGAAGCAGGACAATGAAGCACAGAGGTTGTTTTGTTCTTTCAGTCACCAAATCCTCACTAAGTGACAGTGAGAGTTTTGGGTTACCCCAGTATAGTGTTCTTCCAGGTGACTATAGGGAAATAAAAAAATACTTGCATGTTGAATATTCTCATTTCCAGCAATTTGTAGCTCAAAAACCTCCCAAGCTCTAAGGAGCATCTTTAATAATCCTTGATAAATTTCTCTTCTATGAGTCTAATCGGTGCCTCCCTGACCCAACATAATTTTTTAGCATCCATAGCACCCTGATATGAATACAATTTAGTCCCTGTGACTAAGCAATCCTTTAAGTAGCTTCATTGACTTTTGAAGTCCCACAGCAGCACTTAATTTGACTATTAATTTAATTTACCATCATCACCTTTCACTGACAGCATTTTTACTCCAACCAGTGTACCCTACAGATGGTTCTCTAGGAATGCAGGCATGTTATTTCCTTTCACTGGAATTCTTCACGAGGTTCAATGCATGACATTAAACACCAGTAGCATGAAGAATGCTATAAAGGAAGATTGGAGATACGGTGAGGGCTGAAAAAATTAGATCAGCAGGGCTTAAAAATGAATCAGGGAAGGAATGAGTGCAATATGGACAGCAACTGAGTTTCTTTAGTCAGTTCTGTTGTTGGTATTCAGATGAGAAGTCAGAATATAGATAAAACCTCACAGAGAAACTGCTCTCCTTGACTTACAGAGGTTTAACCTGTCACAAGTGTGTGAACTCATCAGTCGTTAAGTGGTTGATGCACACATCAAGAATCCTTGGTGACATTCATGGCTCTCGTATCTTTAAGTGAAATATCAGTGCTCTCTCCATCCTAAAGGTGAAGTTCACACTCTCCTTTCATAAGCTAATGCCTTAGTGCCCCATGATCGTGCTGGATTTTCATGATCTTAAATCACAGGCTGACTTGTCTAGCAAGCTCAGCCTCTTTGCAGAACTAACATCTGGGCAAAGATCAGCAGGAATATCAGTTTCATTTTTTTGAGACTTAACCCAAATTGTCACTGACAAATAGGCCTTCAATGCTTATGTGGGAATTAGCTTTCTCAAAATTTCAGCAACGGAACAGACCTGAGCAGATGACCCACAAGTCACCTGTGAAATACTCAGCTTGGTGAAATCAGTATTTTAACCGTGACCCAAATAATGAAGTATACAGAGTTGTTAATTAGTGCTCTACCACATAACAAGCAAAAGGTTATGTACAAACAAGAAACGGCTTCTAATGCAATACAGATACCTATTATGAGTCCTGACCACTAAAGAAAACATCTTTTGTAAGGGTTTAAATGTAACTCTTGCTTTTCAAATCTTCTGATGAGCTAGCTATTACTAATGGCAAAAGGTGATGCCTGCCAGCCAAGAACTACATTAGAGTCCATAATTGAATTTCACGAGTTGTCAAGAGCAGGCCAATAAAGTAGCTGCTACTAGAAGTGATGTATGAAAAAAAACCAGTTCTGGTCTGGCAGGATGCAAAGTATGTTGTGTGGTTTCTCTATGTCATTTCAAATAATATGTTCGGTTTTTCTGGGCTACATCGGTCTGACATTCTCCTCTTGTATAATAATGATTCATTATATATAATTTATTCAAGGACTGTAGCTCACCTCTAAGTGCCTATAAATATTACTGCAGCAAGACATTTGCATTGTAAAACGAGTGTGTCACACGGGGGTTTAGGAAAGAACCTTTCATGTTAGTCCCTCAACAGGAAAGATATATTTTGTTCTGAAGTAGAACATTGACCTTAAAATCATCTTAAAAATCTAGCACAGGAAATTATCGTGTTGTCTTAGGTAATTTGACAATTTTAGGGAGGGCTGTGGGCAGAGTGTTGGCCACTCAGATGGCTAGAGCTCTGCTGCTGTTCCCTCAGTGTCACTGGGCACGTTCCCGTGGCTCTGCTGGCAATCTGCAGCACCTCTCCTCCCACCGCTCTGCACAAGCCTGAGCCACTTCTGAGCGAGCTGCTAGAGGGGCTGGAAGGCAAACAACACCACTGTGAGGAATGGTGAAAGTCAGGAGAAGCTGGGACCATGGTGATGTCCTGGCCTGTCTTGCTGCTACCCTCACTGGGCACTTGTTGAGTCTAGAAAGAAGAGACTGAAAGGAACAGACTTTGTTCTCTTCCTGCGGTGATGGGAATTAGAAGTAAGGAGCTTAAGTTGCAGGAAGGAACAGCTAATGTCAAACAGCAGAAAATCTTTCTAATGGGATGGCAGAGAATTGCAAGGGCACACCCAGGGAGGTTGTGACATCTCCAGTGCTGCTCTCCAGCCAGAAAAACTTTTAAGGCCAGGTTAGAAAAATGTCTCCAGGAGGTAACAGGCAGAGTTACTGCCCCTGCCAGAACAACTCAGTGCCCATGCCCAGGTAGCTCTCCAGCCTAACAGCCATGTTCAGCCACCATGTCCTGCTCTGGCATCTGCCTGTTCTTTCCAGTTGCAGCCTCACTCAGTAACACCTTGTCCTGCCCAGTAAGAAGTGTCCCCAGCTGGACACAGGCCAGATGTTCCTGCTTAGGACAGGATGGTGGATGAACTGGTCTTCCCAAGCAGCTGCCAGCTCTGTTCTCCCATGATTTCTCTAATTTACTTCAAGAAATCTTCATCCTTTTCCATTGTTGATCTCCCACTAAGGGTGAAGTTCTGCACTCAGTCTACTGTTTATTAAATCCACAGTCCTCAATATGGTAATTTCAGCAGTGTTCAGGCCACAAGATGGGCTACAGGCCAAAAATACAGGAATGCAAGAAGTCTCCCCTAATAGTGCTGAATAAAGTGGAGATCAAGACTCCTCAACCCAACATCCAGTGGTTGTCCATGACACCAGGTAGTGCAAGAAGAAGGCTGTCCTGAGGTAGCTTCTCCTGCTTGCTCTCTGGGAAGCCATTTACTTTCTCCTCAGGGCTTTTGTTCCCCTTCTGCAGGACGGCATAAAGAAGCTCCAGGACACTATGAGAACAGAGAGGGGCAGGTAGGACCTTTGCCCCTAACCATACACAGTGTTACCCTAGCTGCTCTCCAAGGAAAGGTGAGCACAGCTACATTCTTGGTTTCATACTTCTTTACACAGGGTTTGAGTGGAGCATGCACTCCACCACCACGTAACACTCCTCATGTCTTAAATGGCATCCATCCTTGAACTCTGATTTGCTGCCACTGCACATCCCAGGGAACAACAGCTGGGACACCTGCAGGTTAGCAAAATGTTTTATTGTACTGGAACTTACTGTACACAGACAAGAGACAATGGTTACAGATTATATGTTCCATTAAACCAAAATATCTTTACAATATTTTCCATTGGCTTAAAAAGGAAATACGAATAGATAATTTCATTATTAAAATATATGTTTATAATGCTTCCTATTTATTTTGTTCTATATTAGAAAGGCAAATCTGGGGATAGTGATATGGCTTGATACTTTCTCTCTGGGGAGGTTGTCTTCACACCTGGACAGAACACACATGGAACAAGTTCAGGAATCTCTCTCAGGAGGGATCAACCCACGTCAGATGTAAATCCAGCACGTTGAACCAGGCTGCCTGAGCTGGGGAGGAGGAGGGGTAGTCTGGGATGCCTGTTCTACAGTGCTTTTCTTTTCTTGCATACTAACACTTTTCCAGTATATTTTCTTCTGGTATCTTGATTTCTATGATTTTATGATTCTTCCTCTAGATAATCCCAAGTTTGCTCTCCCTTGTTTTAACCACTGCCACAGTAATGAGATGACCACTCTTTTACAAAAAAAACCAATTTTATCTTGGTGGAATTAATCACTATAACTTCTTCTCGAAGTTCTGAGAGAAGGCAACAAGATAGAGTGACTCCAGAGAGCAATTCAGACTTCCTCCAGCAGGACAACACCTGCCCTGAATCACCTCCTGGAGAAATCTTTCTCTTCACTAACTACAGTGGAAGCCTGTGAAGGTGTGGCTGGAAGAAATGAGCCCTTGTGAATCCTGAGTAGGTTCATGAGTCCTACGGCATCCAAACAGACACACCACAAGCCCTGGTTATGTCTGGAGCTCCACTCTTAGGAGCCCTCAGCCATTTGCTATTCTCCCCAGGGGTTAGAGTTGCATAGTGTCTAGTGTTTGCAGTATTGCAGATTCTCTTCCCAGCCAGCATCTGTGCAACAGCAAAGGCAGCAGATTGTCGGGCTCAGCTGGGTTTCAGTGCTTCTCTGAACTACAGGGGAACTGTTACCTACACTTAGCAGTTCCTGGTTATAAATCACTGAAATATCTGCCAGGGAGGAAAGGGATGCTCCAAAAATGCACAGAAGAAAAGAGACCTTTCCAGTGAGCTGAAATACACTGTCTAAAATTATAGGAACATCCTGTCCTGCCTCAGACCATTTGCTGGACACTATTCACAGCTGCCACGTGTGCACCATGCTCACCATTTCCAGTCAGGACTAAATTGGCTGAAACACTACTATGTTTATACTAAAAGAGTAGTAGACAATCTGTAGTGCTATGTCCTTGTCCACATTCCTTGTGAAAGCCTGGAAATCTAAGGCCACGTTATACCCCAGCTGAACTGTTTGGAAAGCATGGTGTCAAGCCTCTGCTAGTGAAACTTGCTGCTCTCTGTACCACGGAACAGAAACAATGAGCAGGGTGACAGCAAGGACACCTGCTCAGCTCTTGCTGCTCTCCCTTGAGCTCACCAGGAGTTTGGGCCAAGGAGGCATAACTACTTTTTAAAAATAAGCATGTTCAAAAAAGACTTGTGTCTTCACTGTTAGACTCATTTTCCTGGATATACTGGAGAATGTCCACTTCACTCATTGCCTGAATCCTGTTTTCCTTTGGCTCTGCCAGTGGAGATGAGTCAGTGCTCCTGGGGGCAACTGCTGGCTTCTGAGGCAGTGGTGGTTTGGGTGGTATCTTAGGTTTTGGTCTGGAGGTTACTTTCAAGAGCTTCTCAAAATCATCTTCAACTCTGGAATGAAAAGAAAACGGCAGAAACATCTTGAGAATTTCTGAACTGCTTTTTGTTATAGAAGAAAAGGTAGATCTTGTAAAATAAAATTTTCTGCAGGAAAGGATCACCTCTGATGAACTTCTCTTTTAGGAAGAGCTTTCCATAGGAGTTTCAGTGTTACCAAAATAAGAAATGTCTTTTAATAATGTGGTTTTTCAGTTCACTGTAGCAGTTAATTAGTTTTACAGCATGTTTTCAAATGTCTGAATTAAAAGCAATTTGCAATCATTGAACGAAAAAGAACTTTATTTTAGTTGGGAAAAAAAAGATTTGTAACAGCATGTTTTGCTCTCCAGAAATTTTCATGGGATAATAAAACTTCTCACATTCAGCTCTGCTTCTTCTTCATCCTTCATACTCAATCATGAGAAACTGGAAAAGCCAATGGCTTTAAAAATGTTGTGTCCACATGTGCTTCCAAGAAACAGAAGTTTTGTAACCTGTGACTGTAGACAACAACTCCTTTTTTTGATCATTTCCCCCTGTTTCTTTAGTGAATTGATCCAAAATACCTTAAATGGTTAAGGATGTTTCCTACCTGCATTGTTTGACCTTATCAAGGGACACAGTATGCTGAGCATGCCTGACTGTGTTCCCACAGGGGCTATTAGAAAATTTGAGAGCACACTTACAGCAGAATGACTTGTGACTCCAAGAGGTGTCTGCCTCTGGAAAATGAGTATGTGGAGGAAAGGGAAAGAAGGCTCTGACACATCACATCTCTAAAAGATATAGCAGAGATGGCAGAGTGACAATTAGCATAGCTAGAGAGGTCTTTACAGGCCACAGTACTTTGTGCTCTGAATCAAAACAGCCTCTTGTTTTGGTCCTCTGAGCACAGTGGTCAAACAAAATACCACAAGGAGTAAAGGCAGTTGTTCATTTCCCAAAGGCTTGATTGATAAATAATTGCTAAGCAGTGCAACCAGCACTCTGTGCAGATGATCAGCTGTGGAATGACCAGCTATGAAAGTGATGCCTCTGATAAAACACACACCTCTTACATGCTTACAAAACACAGCACCTGCCAAAGCCTCCACCTCTAATTGTAACATCCCAAACCAAGACAGCTAAAGCATAACGACTGCAAACAAGAACTTCTACAGGAGGGACCAGGAGCCAAAGATCAAGAGGAACAGCAGGCTTGTGATAGGTGGGTATGTCCTTGCCAGACCCCAGCACTAGTGTGACACAGTCACTCTATGCCTGCAGCATCAGAGGCAGGGAATTGATTGAACTGTTTAATTGTTCACAAGCCCCGTTTTAAGACCAGTTGTTACCAAACTTCAGCAATAACTGAATCAGCCATTAGGCTCTATCAGTGCCAGCAGCAAAACTCCTCTGCCTTGGCCAAGGGGCAGCCTGGCAGGGAAGCTATAAATGAACCAGGAGATGAAGTTAAGATGCAGGAGTTAATCTAAAGGGACTGGAATTTTCTTTGGTGCTAAAATTCCCTTCAAATAATTCTACTTATTTCACTCTTATAGGATTTGTAAGAAGGTCTGGTTCAGGTGAGTGATTCTTAAAGAAGAAAGGAGCTGGCAGCACATGTGCAGCCCATCCTCTCCCTCTGTCTCTGCTAGAGCAGCACATCATGAGGTGGCACAGTCCCTCCACCCAGGAGCACGGGCTGGATGCTCTCTGTTGGCCACAGCACCCAGAATCATCTCCTGGCAAATGGAGATGTGACTAATGGAACAGACAACAGCTGCTTCTCAAGGAGGATTCTCTGAAGCTTCTCATCAGAGTTCCTGGTGACTGGAAGGGATTTGTTGGAGCAGCTTTCCAGCAGCTCCACTCGCTGGAACAGGAGATATAGAGGAAGTCTAAAGAAAGTGCCTTTTTAGTTTCTTCTGCAAGTCCCTGGATCATGAGTCTCACTTTATTTCAAATCAGGAATTTCTTGGTCCTTCCACTCATTTGTCTTTTGTAATCCCTACCCTCCTCACAGGCAATGAGGCTGTCTTGGGGGTGTTATCCAGACCTCTGTTACACCACTGGGATAACTCCTGTTGACTACATGAGACTGTGACTTCTCCCTGTCTCTCTTCGTTCACCAGCAGCCTCAGGAGAGATGCTGTAAATGCCTCTAGCACAAGGCAGAGCAACTGCAGACAGATAAAGTAAAGTAGGCAGTTAAAGTTGGGCTCTTCCATAATATGGGAAGCAATTGATTAAGGTAACTGGCCAGGACCATAGGGAACACAATCAACAGAAGAATCAGTGACACTGTATCACTCTATCCCTAGAGCACACTGGTTGAATGTGAAAACCAGAGGTACTCCAAGAACTCCAGCACACTCAGCTAAGGTTTCCACTATTATTATGAAAAATTGCATCATTTCAAGGGTTTTTTATGTTCACCCTTATTTAAAAGCTGTGAGGAACTTATGACTGTACTATCCAGGCTAAGACAAACTGCAGTCACCATAAATTTGCTATAAAGTGAATAAGGATTAGCCTGAATTTTCTGCTGTACAGACAGCCAGAATCCTTTAAGGTAAATGACTTGAAGTCAGATTTTTTGTTGACTCCCAAATGGAATCTTAAAAGGATCAGTTTTAACCAGGGCTAACCTCCTCAAATCAACTGCCCAAACATTAGTATGTAAAACTAGGAAATACCTAAACAGACCCACTGATGGTCAGAGCAGAGCCACTGTCCCAGAGCTCTGCACCTTGAATCTGACCTTGTGGACTTGTATTCTAGCAGGAAGCTCCTCAAATTTCATCCCCTAAGTAACTCTGAAGATTATAATCTCTCTTATTTAGATAAGATTTCTGATGCCTTTTAGTTTCCATGATTCCCTGTGGGTGACATATCCAACCTCACTTACAAAACACCTCGTCAGTGTATTTCTTCCTCTTGAATTAATCATCTACATAGAAGAAATAGATTTAATTTAAGCCCAGGCATTTTTGTTTGCTGCAAACTCTGATACCCAGAGATATCACACCTGTGATCACATTGCCAAGACATGTTCATGTTCTCTTTGCTGTGTAATAACAAAACATGTTAGGACTGGTATTCCTGAAGCTTAGCTTTCTCTGGCTGATCTCATGACTCCCTTCTTGGCATAAACAAACACTGAATGAATCAATGCCCATGTCATAAAGCTTTTGGTCATAAATAACAGAAATCACAATAACCAGATGAACAATACACACATATACTTACAGATCCAATGGAGGAAGCATGGTTCTGAACTAGGTGCACCACCCAGAAGGGGCAGCAGTAAATAAAGTTCATTAACCTGAGATGGTATAGATTCTCTACCCTTTTGTGCCTCTGTGTTAATTTCTGTGCTAACCAGAGCAACAAAACCATGCAGCACAGTCACAGAATACCACCAACAGATGTAGTCCAGCAGGGTTTTTTTGTTTGGTTGTTGTTTGGTTGTGTTTAGTTGTTTGGGTTTTGTGTGCGTGTGTGTGTGTGGGGGGGTTTTTTGGTAGCATGCTTTTAGGCCAAGAACTCTGCAGGAGATGATTTTTCAGTCTGGAAGCTGATCATGTCAATCTCCTTTTTCTGTCCTTGTTTTTTTTTCAAGACTTGTTTAGACAGAAGTCTTTTACAGAGAACACAGCAGATAATATGTGGTCTTTGTCTCAAAACCTGCTTTTCAGTGCTCCAGTGCTAGGCAAACTGCTTGATCCACTGCTGTTTGATCATGTGAGACACAACTGTCTTTGGAAAACTGAAGAGGTAAAATGCAAAACGCCTCAGGCAGAGATAGAAACAAGGACTTCTCTTTCTTGAGAAGCAAATGAATCGTTACAGTGCATAACTACCACCATATTTAACTCCAGGCCAGGAGGAGGAAGAAAAAAATCAAGCAACTACTCTGAAGTAACAAGATTAAAGGAAGAACCTTCCCACCCCCATCTTTTTGTAGACAATCAGGCACAGAATCCATGTAATTAATCATTGTCTAATTAGTCTCTTTCTTTGTCTGTATTGGAAAAGCAGGGCCACATTGTTTAGAATTCCTGCCATACTGTTGTGCTGATTCACAGACTCTATTGGTGGAAATTCTCTTTGTTTTCAGACACAGAGAGCAATCAAAACCCTTACTGAAGAAAGGCTGTGACAAAGCCCTATGATGTGACTGCACTAGCATGTGGACTTCAGGAGAGTAAACGAGTTCTGGCAGCTGTCATCAGCACATCAACATTTTAGATGCCATTTCTCTGAACTCTCTTCTATCTGGACAAGATCTTTGGGACAGGAATGACTATGTGCATGTACAGCATCTAGCATGATGGGGACAGTGACCTCTGCTTGCTGGGAATGCTCTAATGAGGAGAATCAGCAATGAAAGCAAGAGACAAAGACTCCCATAATTTGCTGAAGTATCCAGAAGCACCACGTTTGAACCCAGGTTATGCAACTCACAGCAGTTCTTGCAGAACAGACTTTTATCTTT